AAAAGGCTAATTTTTATTAATAGTTAAATAAATATTTAAATACTTATTTACTTTTTCAATAATTTCACTTTTTCTCACTTTAACTGTAATTATTCTAAAATTTAACTTTTTAAAAATAGGTATAAAAATTAAAATATTATTTTTACAATAATGAAAATTTCCGAAGAATACTATTTTTACATTCTCATAAAAAAATGAGAAAGTCTTGGATCTGTGCGATTTTTTTTAATTTAATTATTTCTTAAAATTTTGTTTATGAATTCTTCCAAAGGACTTTATAAAAATTTTTTTAAAGTTATAATTGCTGTGAAAATTTTAATATTTATAAAAATAATTCAATATTTAAGAAGAATTTTATTTAAATTTTTTAAAATAACTGAATTTCTAAAAATAATTTATTTATTTAGGGGAGAGTAGGCTACATTGAACCAGCGTCAACAGTGAACCACTTCAATTTTCTGAGAAATGACTGAGTGAAATTTTTTCATATTTAATATATAAGTTAGTTTTACTGAAACAAACTATGTCCAAAAATTTCGGGCACGTAGGTTTATTATTTACAAAGAAAAACTAAAAAAACTGTTTTTCACGTACAAAACAAAAAATTTGGTGGAATTATAATGACGTTTTTTTATTGAAATAAGAAGTTTTAAAAATTAGTAAACTTGCGATTTATTTCGCTTAGGGTGTCAACTTCAATATTCCGATGTGATAAAGAACTTTAAATCTTACACAAATTTATTATAAACAATTTTTGTTGTGAATGTCATGTGAATACAGTGAGTGCGGCATCATTGAACCACCCGAAAAAGCAAAGAATTTTCAATTTTAAGAGTTGTAAAATTGTCTGCTCTACTAATTAGTAAGAAAAATACTGGAAGACATGCTTTCATCACAATTGTGAACGAGATAAACTCAAACTGTCACTTTACCTACCTAACCTGACATTAAAATACATTAATCTCCTATATTTACAAGTAATAACAATTAAATAACAATTTTCTATTTTTTTGAGTGGAAAATAAGATTTTTTACAATGTGTAAGTGGAAATATTATTTTTGAAGTAAATTGTAGTGTTTTATTAGAGGTGGTTCAATGTAGACACACATCCTTCAAAATAAGAAAAGTGTGACTTGTTAGAAAAAAATTTAATTTAATTATTTAATCATAATAATTTGTGTTTGTAACGTGTGTATTAACTAAAGGAGTACTTCAGCTTAATTTTGATACAAAAACCTGATCGAAATTAGTAAAATTTTATTAGTTCTTGGACTTTATAAAATACCCGGTTCAATGTAGCCTACCCTCCCCTATTATAAAAATAACAAATAGAAATTATTAAGACTAAATAGAAATTATAAGACAGAATAAAAATAATAAGACAAATATAAATTATTTAAGACTAAAATAGAAATAATAAGACAAATAGAAATTATTAAGACTAAAATAGAAATTATAAGACAAAATATAAATAATAAGACAAATAGAAATTATAAGACAGAATAAAAATAATAAGACAAATAGAAATTATTAAGACTAAAATAGAAATTATGAGGATTAATTACAAAATTATTAAGATTAATCAAAGAAATTATTAATATCAATCAATTAAAGAGACTATTCTGGCCAAAAATTATGACGAAAAAAATTATCAAAAAAAAATTTTATGAACAAATTGTATTTTTTTTTAAATTATAAATTAATAATACACGGATCATAATTACAATATTTATTACTATATTTGTGTATATTATAATAACGTTAAAAAATAGTCATTATAAATACATTTGAAAAACCTGAAATAAATTATGGGAGACCACGTTAGTAATGAGAATAATAAAATTAGTAGAAAAAGAAAGAGAAAAGCACCGCAGAAGGAAAGTAATTTAAAAAAGTTCAGATATGTTCACGATCTTGATCAAGAATTGACGTTAGTTACAAACAAAAATTTTAGTGACAATAATGATCAGTTGAATAACATTCAAGAACACCATCTTGGTCCCATGAATGTTTTGTGCTGTCACTGCAAAGCAAAGCTAAAGCAGAAAAAGTGGGTAGAGGTAATTCTTTTAATGACTGTTGCAGCCATGGTAAAGTAGTTCTACCACCTTTACCTGATCCACCAACGATATTAAAAGAATTATTTGAAGGTAATCATCCCTTATCGTATCACTTTTATGACAACATACGCAAATACAATACTTTATTTTCATTTGCGTCTTTTAATGCAAATTTGGTACAGTTTAATAACAGAAGACCAGGACCCTTTTGTTTTAAAATTCAAGGTCAGATTTATTACCAAATTAATACATCTTTATATCCTGATAATAACGAAATGCCAAGTTTTGGACAACTTTTCATAATTGATACTAACGAAGCAATAGATTATCGATTAAATATGAATTATACGTTAAATGCTGAAATCTTAAGATCAATTCACAATGCAATGAGTGCTTGTAATTCTTTTGCAAATGCATATCAAATGATGAAAGAGGAATTAGATTTAATGACAGCACAAAACAGTGGTACAGAACCTGAATTAGAATTACTGTTTACTTTAAAAAAAGGTCATGATAGAAGACGATACAATTTTCAAAGAGTAAATGAAGTAGCAGCAATTTTTTCTACAACTGCAGATGGTGAAATACCAGAATCCTATGTTACTATACGTAACAAACAAACAAACAAAACAATTACAGTATGTCAGTTCAATGGATGCTAATGTTGAACAATGGACTTATCCTTTATTTTATCCTTGCGGTACCAAGGGTTGGTCTGATGATATAAAAATGACTGGTAGTAATCGAAGAGTAACTAGAAATGCTTATATAAAATACAGAATGGCTATTCGCAATGAAACAAATCACATTTTGATGGGACGACGTTTGTTTCTACAATGGGCTGTTGATAACTATGTTAAAGTAGAAAAAGATAAAATGAATTATTTGAGAAACAATCAAAAACAATTAAGAGCTGATACATATGAAAGTCTTTTACAACACTTGGAAAGAACTGCAGAACATACAAGCAGTCGCGTAGGAAAAGTAGTTGTTTTACCTTCTTCTTATCCAGGATCGCCAAGAAAAAAGCTGCAAAATTGGGGCGCATGATTATTCCTCAAATTTCAATTTCCTAATGTTCAAAACATCAAAATTCTTATCATCGAAACATCATTTCGCATAATTTTCAGTTTTCGAAATTTCATTCAACATAATTTTTAATTTATCGATTTATTCTTTATCCTATTATTTAAATAGTCGAATTGTTTTTTTAATTTAATTTTTAATATGTCAAAAATTATTTTGTCCTACATTTTGATTTTCCGAATGACTATTTGTCATAATTATTAATCCTCCGAATTGCCATTTGACATAATTTTCAAACCTTCGAAATATTATATTACATAACTTTCATTTATCGAAATTTTATTTGTCGTAATGTTCATTTACTCGAATTATCAAGTGACATAAAGCGCATTTACTCAAATTCTCATGTGACATAATCTTTAAATCTTCGAAATGTCATATTTAAGAAATTTCATTTATCGAAATTTTATTTGTCATGATGTTCATTACTCGAATTATCAAGTGACATAAAACGCATTTACTCGAATTCTCATGAGACATAACCTTTAAATCTACGAAATGTCATATTTCAGAAATTTTAATTTAAAGAAATTTTATTTGTCATAATTTTTATTTGTCATAATTTTTATTTATTCGAATAACCATTTAACATAAAATTTATTTGTCCGAAATTCCATTTGACATAATTTTCAAACATCCGAATTACTTTTAACCTATAATGCAAGTCACAAAAAGTTCATTTGTCCTGAAAATAACAATAGAAATATAAAAATATTTGAAAATTTCATTGTTATTTTTAGGACAAATGAACTTTCTGTGACTTGCATTATAGGTTAAAAAGTAATTCGGATGTTTGAAAATTATGTCAAATGGAATTTCGGACAAATAAATTTTATGTTAAATGGTTATTCGAATAAATGAAAATTATGACAAATAAAATTTCTATAAATTAAAATTTCTGAAATATGACATTTCGTAGATTTAAAGGTTATGTCTCATGAGAATTCGAGTAAATGCGTTTTGTGTCACTTGATAATTCGAGTAATGAACATTATGACAAATAAAATTTCGATAAATGAAATTTCTTAAATATTACATTTCGAAGATTTGAAGGTTATGTCACATGAGAATTCGAGTAAATGCGCTTTATGTCACTTGACAATTCGAGTAAATGAACATTATGACAAATAAAATTTCGATAAATGAAAGTTATGTAATATAATATTTCGAAGGTTTGAAAATTATGTCAAATGGCAATTCGGAGGATTAATAATTATGACAAATAATCATTCGGAAAAACAAAATGTATGTCAAAAAAATTTTCGACATATTAAAAATTATATTAAAAAACAATTCGACTATTTAAATAATAGGATAAAGAATAAATCAATAAATTAAAAATTATGTTGAATAAAATTTCGAAAACTGAAAATTATGCGAAATGATGTTTCGATGATAAGAATTTCGATGTTTTGAACATTAGGAAATTAAAATTTGAGGAATAATCATGCGCCCCTGCAAAATTATCAAGATGCAATGTCGATAGTAAGGAAATTTGGTAAGCCAGATTTGTTTGTTACAATGACGTGCAATCCAAAATGGAAAGAAATTACAGAATAAATTTATTAGATGGTCAAACTGCTTCAGATAGACCTGATTTAGTAGCTCGCGTTTTTTAATTGAAAAAAGAAGAATTTATTAATATAGTAGTTAAAGAAAAATTATTTGGTGAAGTGCAAGCTTATGTTTATGTTGTAAAGTACCAAAAACGTGGATTGCCACACGTTCACATGTTGATTAATTTAAAACCAAATTCTAAAATTACGACACCTGAAATTGTTGATAAATTTATTTCAGCTGAAATCCCTGACCCTGCAGTTAACGAAAGGTTGCATGAAATAATTGATGCTAATATGATTCATGGTCTTTGTGGAGATTGGTGTTTAGACAAAAATGGCAAATGCTCGAAAAATTTTCCAAAACCATTTCATGAAGAAACAAATATGGATGAGGACGGATATCCACATTATAAGCGACGCAATGCTGCAACTTACAAACGTCGTGATGGTTTTGAATATGATAATCGACGAGTTGTACCACATAACCAAGAACTATTGTTATGATTAAATTGCCATATTAACGTTGAAGTAGTTACAAGCATTAAAGCTGTGAAATATCTCTACAAATACATATAAAAAGGTCATGATGCAGCGATTGTTGTGATTCAAGAAACAGAAAGCAATGATAACCAAGAAGTTGGTGTTCTTGAACATGATGAAATTAAAACTTACATTGAAACTCGCTACGTTAGCCCACCTGAAGCATGTGGGCGAATTTTAAGCAATAATTTGCAAGGCAAAAGTCATTCAATTTATCGACTGCCTATTCATTTGCCGAACCAGCAAACAATTGTGGTAGATAATGTGAATGATCAGAATTCAGTTATGTCTGCATTAAACCGGTCCAAAGAACTTACAGAATACTTCAAATTGAATAAACGTGATCCATTAGCTAAAAATTATACATACTCTGAAATTCCGTTACACTACGTATTCCAAAAAAAATGCATCGAATGCTTTCACTTGGCAGAAACGCAAACAACATTTTAACACTTTGGGTCGCATGTATTCTGTAAGTCCATCACAAATTGAATTATTTTATTTGAGATTACTGTTAACAACAATAAAAGGAGCAACAAGTTTCGAAGATTTAAGAACAGTTAATGGAATTATGCAAGACTCGTTTGTTTCAGCATGTTTATCATTGGGATTAATAGAAGATGATGATGAGTGGAATAATACTATGCATGAAGCAGGAGTTTGGATGATGCCAAGACAATTAAGGCAATTGTTTGTACGAATCCTGATTCATTGTCAACCTTTGCGACCTGAAGAATTATGGGAAGAATTCAAAGTTGCTTTGTCTCAAGATTATTCAAAAACAATGTCTGAAAATCTGGCACAAAAGAAAGCGTATATACAGATTAATACGTTGCTTAATGCTGAAAATTCAAGTCTAACATATTTTCCATCAATGTTACAAATAACAGAAACTGAAGTGGACATTGAGAATGAAATATTTCATGAACAGCATCAAGCAATTGGTACTTAACAGTATCAGACACCTAATGAGGAACAAAAAGAGATTGTTGATATTATTTTAGAAACAATTGATGATAATGATGATAGAAAAAAGTTGATAATAATAAGAAAAAACGATGCTTTTTACTGGAATTGCAGCTACATTGTTGCCTGGAGGTAAAACCGTTCATAGAACTTTTAAATTACTAATTGCAATTTATAGCGATTCATCTTTAACTATTAAAGCACAATCAAAAGAAGCAGAATATTTAAAAAGCATAGACGTATTTTTTTGGGATGAAGCACCAATGGCTCCAAGGCATGCTTTGCAATTAGTGGATAGAAATTTTAGAGATATTATGAACAGTGACAAACCGTTTGGGGGTAAAATAATGATACTTGGAGGAGATTTTTGACAACTGCTGACAGTTAAACAAAATGCTACTCGAAGCGAATTGGTAAATCTTTGCATTAAATGTAGTAGTGTGTGGTCTGATTTTTACCAATTTTCATTGACAGAAAACATGCGTGCTTTACAACATGAAAAAGAATTTTCTTTATTTTTAATTCAAGTTGGAAATGGGACAGCTAATCACAATGAAAATGATTTAAAAATACCTGAAAATTGTATAGCTCCTCCAAATACAAATATTGCAGAAGACATCTACAAAGAGGTAATTGTTAACAAACAATTTGATAAGTTAACTACAATGGCAATATTATCAGCTCGAAATATTGACGTAGATGACATCAATAAATCAGTTATTGAACTATTAGATATATCAACAGAAAAACTATATACAAGTATAAATACTGTTAAAAACTGCGATAACAATGAAATTGGTGAAGCTTTTCTACCTGAATATTTGGAAACATTAAATCCTCCAAATTTACCACCACATGAATTGAGATTGAGAGTTAATACTGTATTATGTTAATCAGAAATCTTTCTATAAATGAGGGGCTCTGTAATGGTACACGACTACTAATTTTAGAATTAAAAAATCATTTATTAAAATGTAAGATTTTAACTGGAGATAAATGTGGCCAAACAGTCTTCATTAATCGAATAACATTGTACAGCGATGAGCGGTACCCTTTTGAGTTTGGACGTAGGCAATTTCCAATTACAATAGCGTTTGCAATGACTATCAACAAATCACAAGGACAAACATTTGACAAAATAGGAATAGATCTCAGACGAGACGTTTTCAATCACGGACAATTTTATGTGGCATGCTCACGTGTTAAGTCTTGTAATTCGCTTAAAATATATTTAGGAGATTAGCGAGAAAGTAATATAGTCAAAAATATTGTTTTTAAAGAAATATTCCAAAATTGACAAAATCATCATGGTTTTAATTGATAAGACAAATATTTAAATTACATTATTTTGTTTTTGTTGAAATGTACAGTTTTCATATTTTCCGCTTTAATTATAAAGTATACAAGATTTAAAAGTGAATATTAAAATAAATAATATATTAAGTTTTGAAATAAGCATTTAATAAATAAAATGAATAAATTTAAATTATATTATTTTATTGTATATTATTAATAATAATTTCAACAATCAAATTAATTTTGTACATTCTCCCTAAATTTAAATCAGTTAAAAGTAACTTATTGAGAAGCAAAAAGTCAGTCTCTGGTTGTCAGTTACAATCATAATTTTAACTGATTACTAGAACCAAAAATGGCGCGCGTCGCGCGCCCCGTTCTAGTCATCTGTTCAAAAAAAAAACTTTAATTTACGAAGTTATACACCACTGTAGATAACTAAAAAGAACGTTTTTTCAATAAATTTTTGTTTAATGACCAAAAGGACATAAAGCTATAATGTTTTAATTGATATTAATTAATATGAATTAATATTTTATTTAAGTAAAAAATTACTAAATTTTATTAACAAATATTTCAAAATTACAGCCATGGAACAATTGAGAGGCTAAACACTATAATGTGTAACGCGCCAAGTAAATAGCGCGTAACGCCTTATAGCATCCAGACCTTTAATTTTTGTAATGTATATTTTTTTCCAGTAGCTCCGCGGCACGCAGTATAAGTAATGTTTTCAGTCTAGAAATAAATCAACATTTTTTTCTTAATCTACAAAGGGATAGCTAAAAAATACGTAGGAGATTTTTAAAATATTAATTTTTGAACAATTGGCAAGCATTTGAAGAAAAAACTAATTTTTGCCCGAAAAAAATAACACTTAATAACTTACAATAACATAAGCCTGCAAAAAATATAAATTTTAAATTTTTGCATTTTGACTCCATATTTGTAATCCGTGACCTTTAAAACCCTTTAATACTAATTTCTATAAAATTCCATAAATTTTATAAAAATCCATTTTAAATAATATTTTACGACATATTGGATTTGCCATTTTGAATTTTTAAATTCTTACATCATATTCGTAATCAACGTACCGAAAAACCCTTCAATGGACAGTTTTGTAATACGAATATCTTTGATTCTTCTAAGAAGCATAGGACAGAAATGGTATTCAAAAAGATAGAATTTTTTTAATGCTTCTTAATCTTTGCTTTATTACTGGGCCCCTAGTATATATATATATATATCGTCTTGTTTCTAATATAAACCTATAGTGACATGCGCTATACATATATTTCTTAATACCCCTACTTTTCGTTTCTGAAATTTGGTATATGTTGCTCCAGCCGCTTAGAATCGTCCGAATTTGAATTCAGTAAGTGATTTGTTACCATCAGTGACGGAAGAACTATCGATAAACGTAAGCAAAATATTAAATTTATTCTAATAATTTTTCATATTTTTAAACTTTCTGATGTGTTTTAATGAATGTTTTAACTTAACGAATGTTTTAATAAATGAATTTATGATATGAATGTGTTTTAAATATGTATATACAAATATTATTAATATCGCTAAATATAAAAATAGTAAAAACATTAATTTAAAATTCATCAAAATTAACAGTAAATTATATTTCTATTACAAGATTTTATATTTCCCAAGAAAATTTAACATTTTTGTATTGAGAACATTTTATTTGAATCAAATAATATATTTAATTTAAACATAAATAATATTTACTTTTTAATTATAAAATATACAATTAAGTCTGAATTAAACGAACAATTTTTAAACATATTTTGCACTTTCAACCAAAACACGATACATTTCTGATTAAAATATATGTCATTATTAAAACAAATAATAGTTTTTAAAAAACTCATTAGATAATTTCTATATATTAAGATTAAGCTTATAAACTGACTTTAATTCAATGATAAAATCATAAAAAATGATTTTTCTATTTGAATTAAAGATATTTCTTACTATATGACTTTTAAAAATATATATATTTTAAAATAAAATTGAAGAAGTTCGATGACTAAGAAGACAAACTCACTATATTATGATAAACTTGTACACAAAACAAAATATAGAATAAGTTTCTGAGAATGGTATATAAATTTCCATAATTTTTATCTTCTGTTTGTGTATCTGACTTGTTTCTCATATTATACTAAAAGGAATGAAAAAAAAATTCTTGTAATATAAATTTCTTGATAAACTTTCACATGAAATAATTATAATATAATAGAGGTATAATAAAAGAATATTTACAGATTAATTTTTACTACTTATTATAATAATTATAATAATAATATAATAATTATAATATAATAATTATTTTCTAGCAAAATGGAGTTCACACCTAACGAGGCAATAGATGCCATTCAGTTTTGGGATAAGACGGTGTAAGTGTATCAATTATATTTATAAATTTATTATATACTTTATATCATTTTTGTAATAATTTTTTTAAAATTTATAAATATAATATATATAGATATATTAAACCTAAATTTGTTCCAGGGACGGTGCAACCTGCAGGCTGCAGAGTTCTGAACGCTCCTTTAAAATAAGTCCATAGTATAAAGGTTGTTGCACAGATCAGCTGCTACGAGTTGTTCAAATACCTTTAGTGAGCCAGTACGGATATTCATTTTTAAAACCTAACACACTATACATTCACGGAGCATTTGTGTTCAGGCCTTAAAAATTTTGTTAATGTATATACCAATTAGTGTTCATAAAAACAGTTTGGAATTATTTTGTGTTCGAGTAATTTACGTCATGTTCAAGAATAGTGAAATAAAATATGTTCTATGTATTTTACTGTAAAAAACTACATAATTCTCACACCCAACCCTGTGCGTAACTTACACTAGTGATGAGCATGTAAAACAGCACAACCCATCTCTGTCTTACTCCGCCATTTTCAGTTCTTGTTTTGAGCTAAAGAAAGAAGTTGACAAGTTTTTTTTTATTGGAACTGAAATCGTTGTTAATATTGCCGTATCTCATGAAACACTTAACTATTCACAAGTTATTTAAATTAAAATGATTGGAAAAGACGAGGTTATGTATAATAGCCAAACCGTTGTCACCATGCAAGAAGAATGCATCTCTCATCATAGTGGACATGTAAGTAGTTTTTGTTTTTAAATAAATTTCAAGAAAATTGCATTTACTTAATTTATTGTACAGTACATTCCAACTAAAGTTAAAATAAACATTATTGCACTGGTTTGACATAACCTATATATATTACTATAAATTTACAAATTGACTTTTCTTTTTATTTAATAGCGAGGTGACCGGCACAATGAATAATTGTCTCATTCAAGCTCTACATACACAACACCAAAACGACCAAATAAGCAGAGTTGTTTACGCCTGACAAGATGGGATATTCCACGTTTAATCCCAAGAAATGTTTCATTAACAACGAACACTTGGACAGCACTAACCACAACTCAGAAAACATCGAGTGTAACAACAACTTTAACATCAGAAAATGATAATGGTTTGTTTAATTCATTACCTCAAATATCTGATGATATTTTGATGGAAATATTTCATCAAGGAACTAAAGTTAAAGAAAAAAATTCACAAGAGATTGAAGATCAATGTTGCACCACTGATCTTCCTATTCTTTGTGACAATACTTTGAATGAAATTCTGAGTGAAAGTACAGATATACAACAAAGATATTCACAAGAAATTGAAGATCAGCGTTGCAACTTTGACCTTCCTAATCCTTGTGAATCAAATTTACCGTTACAAACATCAAAATCTTTTGAAAATATTTATAACGAACTTTTAGAAGAAGAAGCAAATTTTAGGAAAAAAATAAAGCTAGAAGAGAGTCAAATTCAAAACTCCATCCATGAATCTTCTAGTCCTAATTTGCTGAACTTTACATTCTCACAATATTCATCATCATCGCATCGTTAGATTTCACGAATTTTGTAGATTTAATTCCAGAAGAATCTCCAGATGTTTTAAATGAAGTGTTCAAATACAGCGTTAACAAGCTAAAAAACAGAATTGAAAGTCGAGAGAAGGAAGTTTTAAAGGAGATAAATTTGAATATTTTTGAAAATGAAAAAGAGGATAAGAATAATCTGAATGATGATCATGATCAATATTGTGAGAATGTAAAGTTCTACAATTTACTGTAAAAAAATCAATTAATTCAGTAAAAAAAAATGTAAAAGCAAAAAAAAAACTTGTGCTGTTTACCGATTTTAAGATTATTTTTGTTTAATTTATATTAAGTAGACACAAAAAATACTTTGTGATGTGAGATATTGTCAAGTTTATTTTTGTTTAATTTACATTTAGGATACTTCAAAAGTATTAAAAAAACTCGTGCTTTTTACCAATTTTAAGATTATTTTTGTTTAATTTACATTAAGTAGACACAAAAATACTTTGTTATGTGAGATATTTTCAAGTTTTTTTTTGTTTAATTTAGATTTAAGATACCAGAAAAAGTATTAAAAGAAACTTGTGCTTTTTACCGATTTTAAGATTATTTTTGTTTAATTTATATTAAGTAGACACAAAAAATACTTTGTGATGTGAGATA